AAGGGCTGTTTGTATCATTTGTCCTAATTACAAGAAGTCTGGGTGAAATTTACCCCAAAGATATAATAGTAAAAATATTGTATAGACTACATCGAAAGAAAAATCACAAAATATTTGAAATACCAATTTGACAATGAAAGTTTATATGCTTACACTAACAGTTACTAGTTGATACACATGTGTGTTACACATGAATCATTTCGAAGATAAAATGTTGTATATTAAAATCGTGGACCAGTTCCCCTAAATTCCATAATTTCTATAAACATTGATGACTAACTGATCAAAAATCACATTCTATTAAAACCCAAAAACAAAAATGCTAACTAAAGCAAGTAAATGATTTTAGAGATCAGTATCACACATAATTAACTTGTGCGAGTTGCGACAAACCAACTATATGCGGTGGTAAAAAAAAAGAAAGTATGATTTAGTTGTGCTAAACATGAGCAAAGTCATGAGGCATTGAAATTTGCATGACCATACACAACTTGAATGGACAATATATAATATTTAACAAGCTCAAGATCTTCCAAGAGCTAATTCTAACTTTTATGATGCTGCAAATAGAAGTAAAAAACAAAATAAAATTAGATACTTTCGATAAACATGCAAGTATTAGCAAGGCAATAAAAGAAGCATACCTTTCTTTCACGAGCCGATATCTAGACTTTTGAATCTAATATTTATACATCGGCCTTCACTTTGGGACTTTCATGACTTTATAAGTTAAAGAGACAAAAAAATAACTAAAATCTATTCGAACTAAATTTATTAAATACCTTGAGACTACAATTTTCCAATATTCTATAAAAAGTAATCAAGGCTCTAGGCAAAACTGGTTTTGCTTAGAGGAACATAATGCAAGCTATGACTCACTATCAATAAGATTTATCTCCTTAAAAATAATAGGTGGGATGGGGGAAAATTGTGAAGACGTTCAAGTCGCCTAACGATCATGTAAACCCCCACACTCTTATCTTTATATAGCAAGAAATCATTTCTTTGTGAAATGCTAATATTGAAAAACCCGGATAAATATATGAAATCATTTGTAATAGAACTTGTACCAACTATATTTCATGAACAACTTTATGTTGTATAAGTTTGAGTTGGTGTTGGAAGGGTTTGGAATTGATTGGAAATGAAGAATGGAGGGTTTGTAGAAAAACAGGCAAAACCTTCCAGAATGTTAAGATAAATGCTTATCCAGTAGGCAAAATCTTCTGGAAGGTCGATGAAAAACCTTTCAGAAGGTTAATGAAAATATTTGTACAGTAGACAAACCTTCAGGAATGTCGATGAAAAACCTTCCAGAAGGTTAATAAAAATGTTTGTCTAGTAGACAAACCTTCCGAAAGGTTGATGAAGAACCTTCTGGAAGTTAATGGAAATGTTTGTCTAATAGGCAAACCTTTCGGAAGGTCAATGAAAAACCTTCAAGAAGGTTTTCTAAAAATCTGAAATTTTAAGTCGCGAAACAGTCGGTTTTCCTTCCACTATAAATACCTAAGGACGTCCCATTTAGCCCCATTTCAACACTTCTAACCCTAGAAAATCTTAGAGAGGAAGAAAGAGAGGGAAAAACATAAGATCAAAGGGGATTCGCACGTTGAATTGGATCAAATCCCAAGTTTTTCAAGAACACCTAATTAGGGGTTTCTTCCTATTCTCTTACATTGAGGCTTGTGCATATATATATATATATATATATGTACTTTTTGACTCTAAATCATATATGTATGCTATAAAATCTTTGATTCTTGCAATTATTACCATGTTTGAAACAATGTTATAGTTGGGTAACCATTAAAGCTCTTTTTCTCATCTTCAAACCCTAGTTTTCAAGAGAAAGGGATTTTTCTCTTGATTTTTCCTTTGTTCTTGATTTCAAAACTTTAGTACTTTATATTGAACCATAAAATGGTATTTGTGATGATATCTTGCATATTTTCTTAAATGGTTCTATGGTAATATTACATGTGAGATTTGAGGATTTTGGATTGGCTTGTGATTTGAAGAAATTGGTTGGTTATGGTATCTCTTGTGGGTGTTTGGATGACCATGGGTGGCCGTCGAATGGGTATCGTAGAGTGGGTAGATGCATTTCTTACTCCGTGCGGGTTTGAATTTTTTCCTATCACTCGTAGTAGGGTTGGTGCTTTGTGAGGACCAAACCACTATTCACTCACGGGTACCAAGGAGAAGAGGTAGTATACTATTCCTGGGTTGGATTCTTCACTGCCATGAGTTGATATACACCCTTCCTAAATGTTGGATATCCTTGCGAGGATTTGGTTGTGTGTGTATTGGCCAGGATATTCTCGATGTGTTTATTCATACAAATCATGCATCATACCTGAGATACGAATACAAGTTGTGGGTTTATGGTTTATTGTACCATAAACGGTTTTCTACAAGAGCTTGTGGAAGTATGAGATTCTACAAGACCTTGTGGGAAATGGTTTATGGTTGAAAATGATTTGTTATTTGTAATTTGGTGTTATTACTTCACTTAATTTATTGCTATTGTATAAACTTGAGATCTATTGAAATGTTCCTGTTTTCTTTTAAAAATTAATATGTAATATTTACGAAATGAGACCGAATTTTTTTACATGTTTTCTAAATCTTGTTCGAGTTTGGGAGGATGTTGCTACAGAGCTTAGTGCTCACCCCCTACAAACAATATATTTTTCAAATGATGGCTTAGAGGAAGAACCCGAAGTCGATGAGCAGGTACCTTGGGAAGCTCAAGTGGATGGGCATATGGATCCGGAGGGGGATATTTAGGAGTGTTATTTCTATGTCCTAGACTAGGGAATTCCTTTTGAGATAATGTTCATGCTAATATTTTTGTTATTCTGCTGCATATTAAGTTTGATTCTTTTGAATGTAATTGTCATGGTTTGACATATTCTTTTGGGATGATGTTGTAGATATTATTTATGATGAATGAAATTTCTTTTATTGATGGATTTTATTAGTGGCTCTCATGATGTGAATGGTTTTAAAAAATAATGTTGTCCAAGGAGGATTTTGGGGCGTTACAGATCATGCTTTTGTGCTTTGATGCTTTTTTCCTTCAAGGTTATAAGAGTAAACACTTAAATGAAAATATTTACACACTCTCATTGCCTAATATGTTTACACTATATATAATATTACAACATAGAGGTGATAAGTTTTATACTTATCACAATGAATACAATTGATTTTGAAATTTAAGAATTTAATCCTTATCTCTAAAATGCCCCTGCAAGTGTAGCATCCCATTAAGGAGGTTAAGCTTGTCACGAAGAAGATGGAACCGACGGGTTGACTACAGTTTGGTGAAGATGTCTGCAATTTGACCTTTGGTCGAGAGGTAACAAATTTCAAGGGTTCGTTTGTCTATTTTATCTTGAACAAAATGAAAACCTATTTCAACATGCTTCATTCAATTGTGAAAAGATCGGATTTGCAGTGAGGTACGTAGCACCCACATTATCACACCGAGTATGGGACTATTAGTTGTGTGAATATGGAGCTCCTGTAATAAGGATTGAATCTAAGTGGTCTCTGCGATAGCATCATTAAGGGCACAATATTTAGATTCTATACTTGAACGAACAACTAATTTTTGTTTGCGAGATGCCCATGAGATAAGATTTGGTCCAAGAAATATGGCATAACCTCCAGTGGACTTTCGGTCGTCCAAACAACCCGCCCAATCTGCGTCATAGTATGCGAAGTGGATGAAATTTGTGGAGCGACAAATGGGAAGAGAACTATCAATGGTGTCCTTCAGATATTGTAGAATTCTTTTACGTTAGTCCAATGGATATCAGTGGTGCGTTTCATAAATTTACAGGCTTTGTTAACCAAAAAAGAAAGGTCGGGTCGAGTAATGGTTACATATTGCAAAGCACCGAAAACACTTCTATACAATTGAGCTTCATGAAATGGATCGTCTTCATTACGCTGAAGTTTGACAATTAGGGCAAACGGGTTTGAGAGTGGTTTAGAAGCATCCATATGACATTTCTTGAGGAGTTCAAAAATATATTGGCATTGGGATAGCAACAATCCATGAGGGTTATGGACAACTTCGATACCCAAGAAAATTTGAGGGTTCCCAAATCTTTAGTGGCAAAATCTATGCCATGCTCGGAGAGAAGATCATGAATGGATGATGGGGAGCTGCATGTGATGACAAAGTTGTCAACATAAACAAGAATATNAAGAAAATTTGAGGGTTCCCAAATCTTTAGTGGCAAAATCTATGCCATGCTCGGAGATACGATCATGAATGGATGATGGGGAGCTGCATGTGATGACAAAGTTGTCAACATAAACAAGAATATGTGACAAATGTGGGTGTGTGGTGAATGAACAAAGAGGTGTCCGTTTGGGAGGCTATGAAAGCTTGAGCGAGTAAAAATGAACTTAAACATTCAAACCAAGTGCGAGGAGCTTGTTTAAGCCCATAAAGAGACTTGAAAAGTTGACAAACATAGTGCGGATGATTGGAGTCGATGAAACCCCCGATGGTTGCATCATGTAAACATCCTCACTGAGAGTACCATGGAAGAAGGCATTATTTATATCGAGTTTCCAAATAGGCCAATGATGAGAAGTGGCCAAACATAAAACAGTCCGGATAGTGACTGGTTTCTCTACCAGACTAAATGTTTCGGTATAATCAATACCCTCTTGTTGATTAAATCCTTTGGCGACAAGAGGAGCTTTATAGTGTTCAATTGATCTATTAGCTCACTTTTTGATGCAAAAAATCCATTTGCAACCAACTAGATTTTGGTTGGGTTTAGGTGGCTCAAGCTTCCACGTGCCATTCTTGAGTAAGGCATGGATCTCTTAAGCCATAGCAACACACCAATGGGGGAGTTTGGAGGCTATAGTGGCCGATGTTGGGACAAGATCAGTGGTTAGATGGGCAAGGTAGCACTGAGGTAGCGGGTATTTAGTGTGAGCATTTAAAACTTTCGGCTGACATGTACCATCTTGAGTCCGAGTGATCATTGGATCAGTTTTAGTTGGGTTGGCCACTTGATTATGAGTGTCAAGAGGATTAGAGAGGGAGTATGGTGAAGGGTTTGGCAGTGAGGTGGAGTTGGGTAAGGAGCCATCTATAGAGGTAGGTAAAGTGTCAACACACTCAATTGTGGAAGGAGGGAGGGTTGTAGCGGTTATGGGCAGTGATGGTGGGTCTAAGAGTCTAGCAGAAGGGAGAGTATGTGGCTGGACAGAATATTGTTTTGATGAGGATGATACAACTGGGTTCATAGGACGTGAGTTGAACAAAGGTATAGTGGGTAAGCTTGGTACAAGTTGTGGGGTAGATGGGGGCGAAGGGGGAGAGGCACTCGTAAAAGGAAACACAATTTCATTAAAAACAACATTGTGAGAGATGTAAATGCGATTAGTTTCCGAATCCAAACACCAATAGCCATGATGGAATGGACTGTAGCTGAGAAAAACACATGGTGTAGATCTATAGTCCAACTTGTGATGCCGGTATGACCGAAGACAAGGATAACAAAGGCAGCCAAATACTTTTAAAAATTTATAATTCGGCAATTTGTGAAAGAGCTTCTCCAATGGGGAAATATTGGCAATGACCATAGATGGAAGCCGGTTAATGAGATACACTGCGGATTCAAAAGCAAAGTCCCAAAAATGTTGTGGCGTAGTGGAATGTGCTAATATAGCCAATTCTGTTTCAATAGTGTGATGATGTCTCCTTTTGGTAGCTCCATTATATTGATGGGTATGAGGACAAGATAGACAATGGCCAATATCGCATGTGGTAAGATAACGAGAGATGTGACGATACTCACCACCCCAATCGCTATGCAAATATTTGATCCTTGCGTGAAGTAAGTTTCAACCAAAGACTTGAATTTAATGAAACAAGCTAATGTATCACTTTTATTTGCAATGGAGAAAAGCCAAGTGAATTTGTTGAAGGGATGTAAAACTCTGAAAAAATTTGAATTGTTATAAAAAAATGGCAAAATGATAATTAGCCACTACGGTATGAGTTGAAAATATGAATTTTTCTAGAACTCAAATNCACTTTTATTTGCAATGGAGAAAAGCCAAGTGAATTTGTTGAAGGGATGTAAAACTCGAAAAAATTTGAATTTTTATAAAAAATGGCAAAATGATAATTAGCCACTACGGTATGAGTTGAAAATATGAATTTTTCTAGAACTCAAATAACGAAATGGACCTCATTGTTGGATTCGTCTTGCAAAATCTAGTTACCTAGTCAATTTTCATGGAATTCTGAGACTATCAGATTTTTTGCATTTTACGAAGTTATCGGGTGTCGCGTAACCAAAATAAACGTGATTGGAAATTAATTTTGAAATGTGAAAAATAATTTAAATTGAGTAAAAATAAAAATATATTGAACTTGAAACCGGACAAGATTTAATTGATTTAGGACGAAATTGGACCCTGAAAAGGCGGATGTGTGGTGCAACGAGGATCAAGTATCTAAGGGGTATAAATGGGGGGGGGGAAATCAGTTTTTTTCGCCAAATTGGCTATTGATTTTTGTTGGAGAAAGAGAGAGAAGAAGAGAGAGAAAAATCAAGGATTTCTTCAACTTCTCTCTGCGATCTAAGGCCAACCTTTGGTTGAAATGCTTCGGGCNATCAAGTATCTAAGGGGTATAAATGGGGGGGGGGGGAAATCAGTTTTTTTTGCCAAATTGGCTATTGATTTTTGTTGGAGAAAGAGAGAGAAAAATCAAGGATTTCTTCAACTTCTCTCTGCGATCTAAGGCCAACCTTTGGTTGAAATGCTTCGGGCCAAGAACTAAAGTTCATCTACGCAACGAGGGCTACGTCTGTGTACCAAAAAGCACGGATTTTGATGAATTCTAAAAGATAGAATTTTTGGAAATCAAGGTTCAAAGCTTGATTTGGGTTCTAGGAAGTTTTCTATCACTTAAATTACGCTTCAAGAGGTAGAGTTCCTTTGCTCACTAGGTTTATTTCCAACCTAGGGTTGAAATATGAAATGGGTAGGGTGTTAGAGATGGAATCTCATGTATGACACATAGTATTGTAGTTGAAATGTGAAAAATGGGTATAAGAATGGTGAAAATCAATTCTAGTATGAATTGGGATTGTTGAAATTACTTATTTATGATTTGTTGAGATATGTGGTGAAAGTGGCATGTTATGTGTATATAATTATGCCTTAAAGGTATTTGATGAAATGCCTATGTTGATTAAGTGTGTTATTTGCATTGACAATGTTATAACATGCTTTGGTGATGTTGTTGATGGTGATTATATGCTTCTGATGTAATTGACAATAGAAAATGTTGATGGATATTGAAGTTGTTCATAATGTGCTCATGACATATTGAACTTGATATTAGAATTACAATTGTACATTTACATTTGTATATACGCGGGCAGTATCACATTCGTGGGCAATTGACATGAGTGTGGGTGTGTGCGCATGTTTTTTAATCAAACACCATCCTAGGTCCGACTGAGTTGCACTGGTTGCATAGAAAACTTGTTGTGTCGGGTATAGCAAGAATGACTAGACTCTCCATTGGGTGCAAGACCTGATTACTAGTTTATACACTTCCGATGGTGAAAGTTAAAAAAAGTGTATTTGTGCACGCGTAATCAGAGGTGGGATACAAAAATTCATGTTAGTGTGATGGACCGTTGGTGAAAGTCTAGGAAATCATCTACCCAAGAAAGACACATGGTTCATTTTATAAATGGTCATTGGATGTATAACATCAATGGCGGGGGCTTGGTATACCCGGATTCATATGCATGACCATTGCATGTGTTATGAGAGCAGGTGAAGGCTCAGCTTGTGTTGCATATGTGAGTCTCATCTCATAACATGATATGGTATTATGACATTCATTCTTGAAGTTGCATGTTGTTGGATGAATGCTTGTTTTGTTGTTGGATGAATGTTTGTTTTATTGTTGAATTGCAAGTGAGCATTTTATATGTATCTAGGTTGGGAAGTAACCTCTTTAGGAGATATCCTATTGAGCGTGACTCACCCTTTATGAAGACAACATTTCAAGTGCGGGACAAGTGCCGGTGGACGGCTCTCACTTGGTCCCTCGTTGATGAAGAAAGCTGACTTGTGGCTTTAGATTACACTTTTGTAAAACAATCTTGTAATTGGTTTTGGATATGTAATGTTGTATAAAGGATTGTAAATCAAACTTATATGAATTATATTTTGTGTAAAATTGTATGTTATATGAGTTTGGATAGATGTGGTATGAGATTGGACAATTTGGAATTGAAAAAAGGAGTGAATTAGGGGAAATCTGGGCTCTTCTACCGGTAGAACTGTAAGACTCGAACACGAATAAAGATTATATGAACATTTATTATGAGCATGTTCACATGTGATAGGAATGTGTATGATTGGTAATTACTATTTAATTAGGAACATTGATAAGAGACCTGAACCTGTACGATCAGTATTTTAATATTTAGATAGTGCATATGAATAAGGTATGAGAATTATTTAGATTGAATGACGATGAGCAAATTGTTTTGTTTAAGTGTATAAAGTTAAATGAGTATGCTTGAATGTGGCCTAATTTTATTATTTTATTATTTTATGCATGTTAGTGCATAGGGCACTAAGTGGGTGGGAAGCATGTGATATTAACTTATTGTTTATAAATATACTTGCTAATGTATGTAATAATTTGATTAAAGGCTAGTAATATAGATTATTAGGTGTAGTATTTATTTGGATATATATATATATATGAGGACACATACATTGGTGCACTTCCCACAAAAGTAAAGTAAGGAGATATATATATATATATACACATAAAGACATGGAAAGAGTGCAATGAGTGCACTCTCCACTAAGGAAAAAATTGTGTGGGTGTAATTTAGAGGGAGGGGGAGTGGACGGTTAGAGGGAGAGGGGGTGGGCACTCCATTCAAACTTATAGAAAAAAAAAAAAAAAAAAAAAAGAGAGAACTCTCTTTAACCATTTGGAGATTTTCGGCCAAGAAAACAAAATGCAAAGGAAAGCTCTCCAACTTGGAGGTCTCGGCCATGGCACGGAACGAGAAGAATGGAACTTTAAAATGGTTGAGCTTGGTGGTGGGCTTAAGGGCGAAAGATTAGTGGTGGTGAAGGAAGTGGATACAAGAGGTAAGCTTAGTTATGTAATCTATTTTCTCTCCTCTTGAATGTATAGATACTATTCTAGTGTATGTATTTGGGTATTGCATGTGGGTTAAATGTTACGCTTATGGTGATTGTGTAGTACCATGGGTGTTGCATGAAAAATTAACATGATGCTTGTGCGGGTGTGTGAGAATAAGTAGTGTTATTGCATTAAAAATAAAAAGAATGGGATTGTTATGTGTGGGTTGAATTTTGGTCAAGAGAAATAGTAGTTTGGTGGCTAACTTAGAAATCTAATGAATTGTTCTTGAAATTTCATAACTTCCATGGATATGAATTAATTGCAAGAAAGCATGTAATTTTAAGGTTTTATAGAAAATGGAGTAAATTCAAGTATACTTTTGTTGTATTTGCAATCATATGGGAAATGTTTATCTTGGTGCAATTAGTTCAAATAAATATCATTTTAACAGATTCGAGAAAGACTAGCTCAATTGATTTGAGTATATAACTTTATTTGATGTGAATAAATTATTTAATTTGATTCGAATCGATTATTAAACTTTGATGTGAATGGATTATTTAATTCGACTCGAATTGATAATTGAACTTGGTTTGAATAAACTATTTCAAACTTGAACATTATTACATATTAATGCCGAGTGGGATTGCAAATATTGGGTGTGCCAGGCTTGAAGGTGAACACCTCAAAGAACACCGCACCCAAAGCTCTGGCGGAAGGGTCGTCTTCGAGGTAGAATTCCATTCAAGGTAGGTGCACTACCCTACATCTTTTATTTGATAAATATTTAAGTTTGGTTTATATGTTTAAAAGATGGTTTCTGTTGAGATTTAACAGCTGAGTGATGTGATAATATGGTGCAATTGAAATTGACTAAACAATGAAGTAATTCTTTGTGGCTTGGGTTGATTGTATAATGGAATATGTGCGTACGACATGAGTTGATTTGTTTGGGTGGTCAACTTACTTGTGAACGTGATTTATCCTTACTATGAGATATATATTATGACAATTTATTATTGGATACAAGTAGTCTTCGTGACAGGAACAAAGTGTTCGATTTCGAGTTGTCTACGTGACAGGAATTAAGTATTCGATTTTG